TGAGTTTAATAATTTCTTCAGCTTGTGTTGTCTGAGTGATCTTAATTGAGTTTATTTCGATCTGGAATTTATTTTGACTTTCACGATTTTCTGAAATTTGAGTTTCTAGCGCGTTTCTGCAAGCTTGAATTTCTAGGCTATTAGCATCAATTTTATCATTGAAGCTTTGAGTGAGTTCAACTTTTAATTCATTGAGTTTGCTGTTAATTTTGCTGTCAATTTTAGCATGAGATTCGTCAATTTTGTTGCTCAATTTAGTGTCTAGTTTAGTCATAAGGGCAATTAAAGTATTAATATCTGATGGTGCAATTAGTGTTGACGTGACAGTTGCTGTTGCACCGACAGTTGCACTAGGGTTGTTCCGTTGCCGTGTTGTTAGGTCTAGGTGACGTTCGTCGGCGTCGGCTATATTCGGTAACGATCGGCTGTGTTCGGGTGCGGGTGTCTGAGTTATTGATCCGCTAATGTGACCTTGGCTATCACCTGGCATTTGGGAAACATTCAGACTTTGTTTACTGGACAGTTCAGTGGCAACATTTGCAAACAGACTTGTAGGAATGGGAATACTAGTGTCTGATTGGTCCATGGACTCGTTGCTTTCTTCCTCTGTGTGTTCTGATGTATGCTGTGGATGTGTTTTTTGTTCTGTGTCCATGCGTGTGATGTCATCAAGATGGCGACCTTCTTCTTCAATCTCGCTCTCGCTGTCAGTCTTGTAGTCGTAATTTGGGTTTAGGTTAGAATTTTTACGGTTGGGTCTTAAATTATAACCTTTCTCGGCCATGATTAATTATTGTACTAGCCTAATTATGTGAATTGTGCGTGATTAGTTAGTGTTTTGTATAACGGCTTTGTGTTGTTATTGTGGTTGGGAATATTAATTACGGGACGTACAATAGGCTATGGGTTCTTACAATCTAGTACAACTTAAGGAGCTTAGATCGAAAATTGCAATATTTTATGACTACCGTAATATATCATTCGAAAGCCGACACGTTGGGCGCCAAATTTGCTACACACCATAAAGCTTTCTATAGGCTATTCATTAACTTAGGCCTACAAAATTCCTCGGCTACTAAGTTAGCCCACATTGAACTCAAAGCCCTTTCTTTCTAATAAAGATAATTCCTAATTTGTGTTTTGTTTCTATCTAATAAGGTAAGTCTTTGTCTTAATCTTATAATTATGAATTATTTTAAGAATAAATAGATTTGGTTAGTTACAATATAAAATTTATTAATGAAATACAAATATAAGTTGTTGGTCGAATTAGCTACAGGGTAAGTTAACAATGGTGGTAAATTTTCAAAATGGTGGGGTTCCAAAGTGGATGAAAAGATTCTCTAGGCTTAGGCCTATATTGGGTTGGTTTCTTCTTAAGTACTAATTAATATTCAAATAGATGACCTCTTAATCTCAGGGAGGGTGGTCGTGCCGGTTCGAATGATATATTAGGCTTCTTTAAAATGCAAATAATTTAATTTAGTTATTGTTCTGAAATAAGTTAAGCTAGGTTCATGATGCTATTAGTATAATAATGTTAATGTCCAAAGAAAGATTCCAAATGGTTTCACTGAATTTAATGAAATAAAATAGAATTTGAAGATTAAATTTTGAATAAAAGTTCAATTTAAAGTATGTATATCTTGATGAGTTGAGTTTTGGGCCTAGTAGGCTATACTGATTAAATGTCCAATGAAGATTAAATTTGTCCTTAGTTTAAATAAGATGGATGATGGTTACCAAATTTGGAGTGTCTGTCTTCTTATAAATTGGTACTCTTCAATGCACTTGTCCAATACTTTTGGATGATGAGAGATTTAAATTTTAGGTTTTACTTTGGGATTATGAATTTAAGTTTAAATTAAACACAATTTCCAATAGAATGATGTTCACACTGTGAAGAGTTGACAGGATCTGGGCAGAGGCAATGGTAGAAGCTCAGGAAGTCCATGTCCATTGTTGAAGTGATGTACAGCTGGTTAATTTACATGAATGACACTTGCCACAGTAATTTTGATTTTCTTTGGATAATTTTGAAAAGTGATACTATATTTAAGATGTTATTAATATATTGCAATTTTCTTACAATTATATATTACTCTAAATAAATGATTATTGTTGGTTTTTGATGAGTACTTAATAGGTATGGAGAGAATTTGCATAAATATTATATTGTAACATAAAATAGGATGATGTTTCTGTGGGGTGATGGGATACTATATAACATTGAACAAAATTGGATAAAATAACACATTAACAAGGGGAACAAATTAAATAACTGATAACACATTATCAGGGGCATTAACAGACATGAGAGAAAATATACAAAATAAAAGAGAAATTTATGTTAATGATGAATGAATGACATGTAATATTACAAGTTACATCACCACTGTACATATTTTGTATTGTTCATGATTTGAAATAGTGCTACACTGTCACGGAAACGTCATCGTCATCTCCCGCGGTCACGGAAACGTCATCGTCGTCTCCCGTGGTTACGGAAACGTCATCGTCATCGAAAATCATGAACATTTCCCGAGGCCGTGAGGACAATCATCATTGGCTTTCGCGGTTACGTAAACGGAAGACGACGATCGCGGCAAAATCATAAAAATTCCCGACTTTGAAATCAAATTTAAGACTAAATCCCGACTTTTCAAGACAATTTTGAAATTCAATACTAATTCCCGACTTTCCCGATTTTCCCGACTACTAGACACCCTGTATTAGGCCTAATCATAAAGAACAAATTACCTTGCAACCCGTTGTCAGTGTCACCACGGAGTTTTTCTCCGGGCGGATTCCTTTTCATGGAAAAATATGATTGTGATATCGCCAGCCGGCAGCTTTTGGAGTAAAAGTACCTCACGACGTGCATCTTTCTAGGAACCGATTGAACATTATTTTGAACAAGCCCGAAGAGTCACGTAGCACGAATTTCGGCTCATTGAGTCCCCGGTGGTGTTGTTTTTGTTTGCTATAAGGATGGACAAGATTGGATTTTTATTTCGAGACGAGACGGGATTTTTTATTTCTCATAAAATTTTGAGAAGATCAAGACTGGATTTCCCTCCTCATACATAACAAGAAATACAAGTTCCACATTTTAACCAGATTTTTTTATATTTTTAAATATCTACTGATTTATGGCAGACTGGTTAAATACAAAAATAATAATAATAGACAAAAATATCTAAATTCTTTTATTAAACAACATTAATAAATACATCAGTACTAAAAAATTATTAATAAGGCCTAACTTATTAAAAATAAATCGTCGGCATAGAAAACATGAAGAAATCAGTTAGTATATAGTTCAACTTTTAAAAATATTAAAATGTATAACTCTAAAACAACATATTACTAGTTACGTATCAAGTAACAATTTTTAGGTCTTGTGTTATTTTTACAATGATTTTGGAGTGACTTATTTTGGCTATGTTTATAGTACTAAAACAAGTCTCATACTGCTTACACTAACAAAACTTCTCATCATTTGCTATGTCAAAAAAAAAAGTTATAAAACAATTGAAGCAATATTTCCATGTAAAGAATTAATAATTAGGCTAAATAAAAACACATTCGCAAAGTTTTTTTTTCAATTTAAATTTGTTTATTTTAAATTTTGCAGTGTTTTTTTATTTAATTTTTTATTTTAAATAAAAAAAAAAATTATTTAAAAAATCTTGTCTTGAAAAAATCTTGAACAAAATAGAATCTCGGCTTGTAGAACAATATTTAAAATTTCTCGAAAATTTCCAGAAATTTCGAGACCCGTCCATCCCTAGTTTGCTATATATTTTTTAAATATGTAAAGTAAGAGTTTTGTTGTTTTTTGTTTGTTACGATTATACATGGTTTTAATACGTTTTTGTATTGATGTTGCAACCTCAGGGTTTAGGGTTAGTGTTTGGAACTCTCTTTAATTACCAATTTCCTTGCTAATCTTTTAATTTGAAACTTTTTTTTATGATAATAAAGTTAGCCTTTGATTTTTTTTACTAAATAATTTTATATTGAATTTGGATAAGATTGTTTTAAAACAAAAGTCTTTACTTGAATCAAGAATATAAATTTTAACAGCTATGAGGCTACTCGATCCACCTCAGAATTAGGCTAATGTTCTCAAATTGTCCAACACCTAAATAGAATTGTTTGTAATAATAAGATGGAGATTACCAAGTTTCTTCCAAGTTTCCACATTTCTTCTTGTTTAAACTATTTGAAATAATTAGACTATTGGTTTAGCTTTTCACTTTTTAATAGAAAATATTATAATATAAAAATCATACGAACTAGTTTTTAAACTTTTACCAGGCTAGTTTATGGTAGAAGAAGGAACTCCAGTTGTTACCTAACACATGTTTTTCAGCAACAATGTATTCAGGTCTTCTAGATCTTGATGTTCACTGTTACTTTTTAGTCACTCAGGCCAATTTATAGTATATGAAATTTAATTTGGGTAAATTACTTTTTGAGATTTTGTTTGGATATATACATAATTATTTTTACTTTAGCTTGTGTTTGAAATAGATTGTAAACATAGTATATTTTAAATAGGCTTTTAGGCTTAATTGACTGGTAGTAGGCTATTTATATATTATTTTAATATACAAAAATTTATGAACTGTTGCAATGTATGTATAAAAAATGTTTGGCCAATGTTTTAACACCCGAAAAAAAACTCTGTGCGTCACCGATCGTGTTGTTTTTGTTTGCTATATATTTTTAAAATACGTAAAGTAAAGCTAAATTTAATTGTATGTACAATTTTATTGATTATATATGGTTTCAATAGGTGTTTATAATGATGTATGTATAAAAACACACTGATTGCCCAAAGTTTTAACACCCGAAAAAAACTCTTGTGTGTCACTGATCGTGTTTTAAAATCAAAGACACTGACGAAGGGTTAAAATAATAGTTGTTAGCGCAGCAACGCGCGCCGGGTAACTGTCAGTTCTATATATAAAAAGGGAGGAAAAAACACTTACAAATTAAGGGGAAACCACCTCAGAAGAACACTGGGTGTTCCATCCATGCTCGTCCTTTTGGCGATTATCTAAAACAAACAATAATCTGTTAAATAATTGAAACATTGGTTGGTCAACAATTAGATACCTCTGCTTCTTTTGATCAGCCCTAAAATAGTCATGTATAATAGTTAATATGGTAAATTCTTATTAACTGATGCAATAAATTAAGTAGGCTACATTTAATTTCTTTATACTGTGACAGTGGTAAATATTCTTAAGTTCTTGGAGTAGGTTTATCCACTCATTAGAAAAATGTTTACTGTGGAATCAATTTTTGAACCTGGTGCTACTGCAGGGACAATTTTCTTTTTACCACCAATACTGATATTTTTATAATTCATACGTTACCAATTTTTATTAATAAAATCAAGTTGCTTCAACCAATATACAGTTTTTCTGTTTGATAACTTCCATATTAATGTAAAAATGTTGAATGGATCTGGAAGTATGAGAATATGTCAAGACTTTGATCTAAACCTAACTGAAAAAATAACACAAATTCATTTGAAAATGTAAAAATGTTCCCTTTTATAAAAAAAAAATACTGCTTTAAACGAAGAGAAATGATTACTAAATGAATGACGTAACAACTTCATGCAACAGCTACCTACTTAGACTATATGGAAGTTTGACAGATTTGATCTGATCCTACTTTTTGTTGGACAAGTATTTTGATTCTGTTAAAACATAACTGATAAGTAAATAGTTTTCTTCTTGTTCATCTGTGTTGTTTCTACACCCATTCTATTCCTTTAAATATTATCTTCTTCATACTGAGCAGATAGATGGTCAAAGCAAATTTCTGGTGGAATTTAATTATTTAAGAAAAAATAAGAGCTGATGCTGGTAATGTATTTAGCCCAAGCTAGATACTTTACCAACATTTTACCCATAAGTAGGTGAAGTCCATACTGGAGACATCCGGGTTGTAGTTAATTTGACGTAATTACATGACTAAGTAACTGATTTAAAATTAACTGGTTGTAAAGGAAGAACTTTGGATTAGCTTCCAATGAAAAAATCAGCAATATGATATTGCAGCAACAAAATGGACAAAGCCTAAACAAAATACTAAATAAGAGAAATTTATCTGAAGGATTGCGTCAGATGACTAAGTAAGATGTAAAAGATCAAACTATTGTAAAAAATGTATCCCTAATATCCAATTAAAATTATTAAGTCACAAAAGTTGATGGAGAATAAAAAAAACATATTTCAATACCATCAAGAGATGTTCTGAATCATCAGATGAGATGGACCAAAATGTACCAATTAGTTTGATGAAATTTGGACAAAATCAAATCTCATGGTATACTCACCAGAGAATATTATCTGCCAAAGACTGTTCCAAAACTACAATATTTATTTTTGTGCTTAAATATCACTTCAAGATAACAACCGCTTCTGCGGTCACTTACTGTTTCACAAAACAGCCTGAAAATCCAAAAAGAATATCTCAAGACATTAAAGACTCCGGACTTATAAAATATTAGGAACTGACGCTTCATAAAGGTAGGAAATTTTGAAAATAAATTAAGAAAAGCCTAGTATACATGGAGTGAATGATGGAATAAATAATAAGAATTAACTCAAGAACGTTCTACAGGCAGTAGAAGAAACCCGTGGTTTCAATAGCTGGTACACTTGAAGGTCTGAAGAATTTGTAACCAAACATAATTACCTAGACATTCACACCAAAACAATTAGTTACAGTCTTCCAACAAAACGCAAACCTTCTTAGGACATCACAAGGTTAATAATTATGAGATAAATCAATATAACAGCTGTGATAAATCTGTGTTTGGTTTTAAATCTTTAGGTTTAAATATTGAAAGAATCAATAAGAAGAAAAATAATTATATACAAAACAAATTCTACATAGCATTCAATCGGTTAAACTTAAATTCACAAACTTGTTATCAAGATAGATAAAAAATTTGAAACAGTTCAAAATATATCTTAGGATTGCCCAAGTATTTTTTGTACATGTTACTTAAGCTATTGATTTTCAAATTCAATTAAATAATTTGTTTTACGATATATTTGTTGTCCTAAGAAAGTTTACAGCACATTCCAAAATGTCTAATCAAATCAACATTTCAATGATGAAAGAAAGAGAAGGGGACTTCGTGCAAGCATCCATTCAATCCATCCGTACAAATCTTCAGGAAGAAACACGGGAGCAAAACCATCACTTCAAATTTAATTTTCTATACATATTGTATCCATAATTAATAAAATATCAGTCAAAAGATCTGCAAAAATGGGTGCACTTCCAATTTAACTTCTAGAAAACAAAAATGAGGAAAAAATACAGGGGTTGCCTACTTTGAATTTAATAAAAAAAAGAGATCATTACCGTATATTAATTAGTATTATTATTTTATTTATTACTGCTCACATAACGTTTTCATTTTCTAAATCAACTGGGAACATTACAAAAATAATTTTAACTTGAAATCTTATAAAAATAATATGTTCTTAACAATGTAATTTAATTAATTCTTATTTCATAATATTTTAAATGTATAACAAAATAAGAAAACTACCTTTCAATCTTTACACTTACCTTAAAATCTTAACACTAACACTTCAATATTTACATCTAACAGTCATGCTTAAGTAAAATTATCCTCAACACACAACCATGTCAAAAAATCATTAAGTTTATCTAAAAATATTTTACTTTCTTCAAATTCTTAGACAATTTTTTTAAACTGTATTATATATCAAATTATTGTATTATATAACTTTGTGACGAACATGCTTTTAATACACCTTAATTATTAATGTTCCCAATAATGAAGATTACAGATTGAAATAGTTTACTTAAATATTTGAGTAGGTAGTAAATTATTATTAGTAAGTTTACCCAGCTAATTGGACACTGAATTGGGTTTGATTGTGAATTCTTTCCAGAAAATCCATAATAATATTGTGCTATATTGTTGCCTATTGAAAGAGACAGGAGCAGTGGAATTTTAATATTTATCTTCCCATTAACAATTAGTTAACCACTATATATCACTAGTAAAATGGCTCAGTTACAATTTATTTATACAAATATTTCTGGCTATCAAAAGATATAAATATTTAAATGGACCTCTGCAGTAGAGGTCCCCTGCTCTTCCTTTACACAAAAACTAATCTTGTACTTTCATTCTATTTAAATAAAGTTAGATCAAGATAATTTCAACAATTCATTTCAATTAGCCAATAATCACAATAAATTAAATATTTGATTATTTAAATTTCTAAAATTTTTATGTAAAAGTGATAATGTTCATTGCCATTCATTGTTCATTTTGAACCCAATAAGAAATTTTCACTTTATGATAAAACTACAAAAATATTACCAACAATCTCTCGGAATACAGTAGAACCCCCCCCCCCTCCTGACTAACCTCGGAATAACAGACTTCTCAGGATATACCATAGGTCCCATTAAAAGCTATACATATCATTAGAGGTGTGCAAGGGAGTCAGAAAATAGTTTTTTGTGACTTTCTTTCTTATGGAAAGAGGGTTTTTTGCTCCTACCGATATCCAACATTTTGGCTGATTCGACCATGACCTCTTGACCAGGTCCCGTTGTGGTCTGATATGGGGGGGGGGTTCTACTGTAATTAAAAGACCAGCTCAACAATTTTAAATTTCTACCTGCTCTTCTTTAAAACCAGCATTTACAAATTTTTATATCCATTGACGGACAATAAACTGTAAAATAAATAATTAATTAATAGTCAATTTAAGTAGTCAGAATTAATAAAAGTACCATTTCAGCAATGCTAACAGCAAAGCATTCTAGCAAAAAATTATTTAACATCATCCAGTTAAACTTATACAAGTGTGTTTAAGTTTCTAAAGTCGGCTATATTGATAATGAGTGGTAATCAAGTCTCAAATATTAAAATATAATCTAGTAAATCTAAACACATCTGAAATATATACATTCATTTTTATATTATTTTAACACTCAACTACAAGAATTTTGGAACAGCAGATTCATTTAACCTTACACTTATCTGACTAAGGAATTAACATGGAACACAAGGGCCTAGGTTTTGAAATTTGTTAGGATACAGTAGAGTCCCGTTAGTCCGAAATGGTTGGGACCGGGCCCATTTCGGATTACCGAATATTTCGGATTAAACGTTTTTTTTTAATTTTTTTGAATTTTTTTTTTGTCTTAGGACGCAGGCACGAGCCCGGGATTGTTTTTCAAATTACTTAAGGCTAGACCTAGTGGCTGCAGCATTATCACTTACAGTAATAAAATCCATGTGTGATTTGGCGGACGAAAATGAAAAATGTTACAGTAATAACAAAAATGGTCAAATATTTAATAATATACTCTACAAAAGAGTCTATCTCGCCCAGCCGCTACAGAATACGTTGACAAGGTACAGGTAACTGTGTTAAAAGTTTAATACAGTAAAAAAAAACTTTAAAAAAATTCAAAAAATTTCAAAAAGTTTCGAAAACTTAAAAAAAAACTTTAAAAAATTTCAAAAAAATTTCAAAATTTTAATTTTTTTATTAACATTTTTTTTAAATATATTTTTTTGGTTTCGGATTAAGCTTTACATGTTTGTTAAGGACAAATAAACTGTCTCAAATGAAAGATCTTAAAAATCAACCGATTATAAAGTATTTTGGTAAAGTTTATACTGGATTTGTAGAAAGCAGGTAGAAATGCCCTATGTTCGAGACACACCACCACACACCACACCACACAGTATAAATATACATAGTAACAGTTGGCCCTACTAACCTTGCTGTGCAGGGTGACACTGTTGGCAGCAGTGTCCTCTACATTGCCAAAGGACAGGTACTTGGAGATGTTGAGAAGAGAGTGCTGCACACCCTCCATCATTCCTGTGTCTATGTAGTCGAACATCCGCGCTGCAAACAAGCCACACAACCATCACCAAACTTGACAAGTTATTAACACTCCAGGTCATACAGAGGAGTGTGAAAGCTGGTAGTCAACATGTTAAGCCACAAAACATGACCGTAGAATATTCTTACATTCTTTAACATTACATATAAAAATCAAACAAGGCGTTATTGTGGTTTCTACAAAAACATCCTGTTGATTTGATACAAAATTTCACAAATCGGCCAACGTTTACCACACTTTTATTTGCAAGAAGTCAGGGGATAAAACAGATGAGTCAAGAGGCAGTAATCAGGGACCTGTCGCACTATAAACAGCTCTAACCCTTGGGTCCATGTTAGCATGTCCCACAAACCAGAGTACATGCAAGGTAAAGGGGAATAATATGGTACGTAGCCAAATCCTCACCAGAGTAAGGTTGTCTCCTGTACCGCAGCTTCTTGCCGTTGCGACGGAACAGTTTGTTGGGTGTTGACTCTAGACTGCGCTTGCTGCTGGACCCGCTACTGCTGCTCTGCTCCGACTGGTTGAAGTGTTGGTTCACATGTCTCTCTAGCATGATCTAAACAACACAAGTGTCTATGTTAGCTGGAGAGTGACGGGGCTTACAGCGGTGGGGAAACGGACTAGCGATTAAACCACTTCTGGATAAACTCAAAAGAAATATCTGGATAATCCACACTCTTATTAATGATTTTAAAGTGAAAAGATCAGAAAACAAATGCACAACATATTCTGGTCATTAACCAAAAAATTATCATGTAAAATTTGTATTTAGTGGTTCGAAAATGCCCATAACTTTAAGGTTTACTGAAACCAACAACTTTTTTTCCAGGTGAAATTGAATTTTAGTACTATAAATGAAACAACAAATTATGGGCGCATTTGAAATATTCAAATTAGTTGTCACTTTTACATTTAAGTTAATATTGGTCACTTAACAAACATTGGTGACATTAAACAGTAGACATAACTGCCTCTCTTGTTTTTACACCTACCAAAATAACAAGAGTTTTCAATATTGTGACTAATTTTACATCCTCAGCACAATATATGCTGATTGAAGTATCAAATTACACTTCCAAGCAATAATGACTGGTAATAAACTATTTACTAAGATAATTTAAAAATTACAATGTAGTTAGTTTAATGTGGCTCATCAATTTCCCCACCACAATTCATATAAATATTGAGGCTGGAAGAAGCCTTTGTAAGAAATATGACTAATGTTAAGCTTAGTATTCCTCACTTACCTTACAAGATCCAAATAGGGAATAGGGAAATATTTGAATCAATGATGCCTTTGGAACCATTTTTGCCATTTTGTTTGTGAGTTGTAATTTTTTCTTAGTTTTTCCATAAAGTAGTGTGTGAAATATTACTTAGAGAAATGAAACTTTCACAGGAAACAACAAGATTTATTTTAAATTATATTCAATGAAACACAGGCACCTTTCATTCAAACACAGAGAAATTAACATACTTACTATCAAGTTGGACAGCATTTGTAATCACCTGAACACTACATGTACAATTAGATATACCCAAACTATTTATGCACTCCAAAAAACCTCAAAGTCAACAGGTGGCCACTGATATCACGCTACCAAATCTTAAGAAACCTTCTACAACAGCTACCATCTAATGGAAAACTCGTGACTGAAAACTATGTTAAACCAAACATCTGAAATAGCTTTTAAAGCGAAATTTTTAAAAGTTATGTAATCATAGGTCTTTTGAAGCAAATTCACATCTTCCTTAAACATACCTACTATTAGATTTAAATTGTAAAAAAGTTCTCATAATAAAACGGTTGTGTGGACAATGAACAGACGTTTTTAATTTAACAAACCTGAATTCTAAAAAAATAACAAAAACCCATGGTTGAGCTTTCTTTTTGTTTTAGTTTTTTTTAGTTACCGTAATACACTGGTATCTGTATAATTGACAAGTGTTTAAATTTATTAAATCACCCCGAGTTTAAAAACTTATGTACTTGTTTTGATACACTTAATCACTATAGAGAGGAAACACAATTAAATGACATTAGGTTTAGACGCCACAATCAACAATGCAGTTATAAAACAAATTGTATTGGGTACAAACACGCTTTAATATTGTGCAACATGTACCCCTTTATAAGTAGTTCTGTACCAGATTGAGCGCACAGTAACAAACAAGTTTTATTTTCAATCTGGTAAGTGCTTTTGTGCAATTGCAAGGTTATTATTATTCTAGGAAATAAAATTGTAACTTAAAATTTTTACAGAAGGTTTTAAAGAAATACAGGGATATTTTGCAAATGAATACAAATAATTTTGAATGCCAAATTGGTTTATGACTTCTTTATGCCCTTTTTCATAGTATCAGTAGCCATCCTGATGGGTGGATCTGAAAATGAATGACTCTTAATGGTAGAGCTTAACTTTCTAGATCCACCCATTGAAACAAAATCTCCCTAATTGAATAAATTCCACTGAGACAAAAATATTGTTTAACAAATATTTAGATGGTACTACTTTATTGATGTATGGGAAAAAACATGAAAGGCTTGTCAAAATGTATTTACTTATTGATTATCTAATGTTTGCAAGGACAGCTAAATAGCATTGCCATTAAAAGTGAAATCGGTCATTAATTAAGTAAAAATAAAAAAATTTCAAAAGCGAAATGAGTTTCAACATAGAACATTCTACACCAGGTCTGTCCATTACTTTAGAATACAAAATATGCTCTACTTCAATTTTGGAATACTAGATAGCATATTAATAAAAGAAGCAATACCTTTCACCTCCGAATACAGTCAAGAGAAAAAGTGACCAATTAGAAGGATCAGAGAGGAAAATGTCTCTGAGAAAAACAACTTCTTAGCTAAATTTTAACCAAGATACAGAAAACAACAAACTCGCTAATTAAAGTAATTATTTTTTTTTTAAATTCAGATTTCTACCATCCTAGAACACTCAACAACATATACAAACAACTTCCAGTTCCGGTAATGATGAAAAGCACACACATACATACCTCCATATTACGTTGTCATCATTTGGGCTATTGGTAATTGGGAATATACTAATACTGTAATATATATTGTTTAAATGGCTTAACTATAATTTATGTTTAAAATTATGCTTTAATAAGATTTTTTGAAGTCTTCGAAACAAAGGTTTTGCTTCTTATCATTAACATTGCATGATAGTATACAATAGTACGTTTTAAACGTGATAAGTAAATAACATAACAAATTAAAACGTTTAATTATGTTTTAAACAGATTTCGCTTTCGAAACACTCTTGAAAGAATTTTGAAGATATGGAATAAATTAATAGACAAAACCTGTAAAAACTGCACAGGTAATACATTTGTGAATAAATTTTACTGCAACTGTGTGTATAAAAAAGAAAATCAAAACTTCAAAAATTTTTTTACTATGATTTTTTGAAAGTTGTTTAAGACTTTCTAAGTTAATTAAAGTACAATAAAGTTTGGTTGACTCCTATTGGGCATGGATTATATTTTTATAATAAAGTGAATGGAGAAAAAAATCATTATTTGATTGAATACCCATCCAAGTCCAACGTACGCTTCGACACAATTAAATTTATAACCCAATACTCAATTTAGACCCAGGAGCTATACTCAAACTTGACTGTACTTTAACAAACTTTCCCTACACTCACTATCCTGGTCTTGTAGCAAATGCTTGGCTCAGAGCTGGGATCGTACCTGTGAGCTGAACCTCTGTCCGCAGCCAGTGACGATGCAGGGGAACGGCTTGTTGCCTCCATGGCTGAGCACATGCCTGCCTAGCCAGCTGGCTGAACATGATGCCTTGTCGTACACCTTGCACCCGCTCCACAGACACTTGAACGACACACAGAGGGTTTGTGTCAACACGTGCTTGGCCTGAACAGAAAATTATAATATGTTAATGTTTACACGAGATTTATTGTTAGGTCTCCCTGGTTTTACAAGACAAAATTCACCAGGTTTTACTAAAAATGCCTAAAAAAGCTTTAAGGACAGTAAATCGGCTCATACTCGTATGCAAATCAGCTCAGGTGGGTCAGGAGGGTTTATATATACACTATAAGTGAGATGCATAACTGGGATTAAAAGTGGAATATATATTTTGGAAATTAACACCAAAAGTAATCCTAACCTAACCTGATCCAACATGCTTCTATTCCAGCTAACTAACACTTTAGTACAGTAGACTTTATCTTATCCGGACTCCTCGGGACCGAGGCCAGGCCGGATGACAGGTTTTCCGGTTAAACCGTCGTCCCCAAAAACTCCTTACAACGGACCATTTAAATGCATACTGTATACACCAATAATGATTATTACGTATTTAGACACGTGATCACTGGTCTCAAATCTTTCCTACGAGAACAATTTTTTCAGTACCGCCCACTTCCTGCCGAAATAGTCCGGTTAAACCAATGTGCTGATAAAAATTGTCCGGTTAAAGAAATGTCATTTCTGCCGAGTGTAGTCCGGTTAAACCGATGTCTGGATAAAAGGTGTCTGGATAAGAGGGAGACTACTGTACTTCAAAATTTCAAGAAAATTACGACCAACTAAATAGATTTATCTGTACTCCAACGCTTATCGCTCTGGTGTAAATAGAAAAAAGTAGAGAAAAAAATATAAGGTTTGGTCAACATTTAGAGAATTATTCTCCTATAACTTAACATGCCCCAGATTGACTTGGTATAAGCCTACTGTCCATAACCCTTGATAGGAAAAGTATAAAAAAGATTTAAGAGGTAAATGATTTTTCCAGCAAATGGAAGTTCTAGACATTACATCACCTCCACTATTATTATAGGTGGTGCAAGTTTTCATGATGGGATCAAGGACAAATTGTTTACCAACAAAGAAAACACAGGCTAAGCCTGAAGCTGCTGGGAATGGTCGGGCAGGCCAAATAGGGGAAATGCCTAACCTGGCAGCCGGCTAAGGGGCATTCAACTGAACTGGTTTTCCAGTGAGAAATGGCAAACCACTTACTTCTCAATGCAATTAACCTTACAAGCAGAAGACCCATGGGTATGTATTCACGAATTCATAAATAATAGAAAGAGAGACTACTTTTTTAAACTTGATTTGTTGAGCCAAGATCTTAAATTGGTAGCAAGGCCTAAAGTAAAATGCAGGTACTGAAAATTTAGTTATTCTTTAGTTTTATAAATCTTAAATTAAGATTTAACATATTCAAAACGTTATGGAAGATTTAGATTATCTTAATGAAAAGAACAAAAGCTTTAAAAGTAGTGAGTGGGAACTGAAAATTGTTGCAATAATTAAAAGTATTTTAGAAAATTACGTTTTCTATTTAGTGATTTACTGAACAACGATGGACCATCATTAAAGCTATTGATCATTAAAATTGGACGAGTTAGAGACGAGCTAAACACCCCAAAATAATATTAAATTTAATTTTTAGAAACCAGCTTTTATTAAAAGATTTATATCTCGGGTTGTTAATACGTCACCAAGATCTTTCTGGTCTCAAATTACTATTAAATCACTACATAAAATCCGACAAATTTAATTTAAGTCATGGACCTTCATTTAACATTAACATCAACTCGTGCAATTTTAATGATTAGAGAATTGTAATGCTCTAATGAAAGTCCTCACTCACATCACTGAATATGTTAAGGCAAGAACGAACTGCAGGCGTTATTAATAACTGGAGATAAAATAAAAATAAACTTTAAAACATTTCTAAGTACGAAACGCCCATAAGAAATGTATGGGGGAGAGTATTCGTTTGAACACATCTTGAAAACAAAAAGATATTTAAAAACGGATTTTGGCATTGGAATCAGCGTGGAAATCTAGTTCATAATGATGTGTCACAACAGTATCATTTCAATAATATATATATCCAAGATGGCAGCCAAAAACACGTTCCCTACGAAATGAAGTACTGACCACCCAATACATATTGGCAGTGGTCCTAAGTCAATTCAATTTCACAACAAATGTTCATAAAAAATGCATATGTGGTATTTTTAAAATACAGTTTCCAATGTTGGGAAAAGCCGCCATTTTTGATCGTGATTTTAGGGGTTTTCCCGTGGACCAATTTTTGGCAACTTTTAGTAAGTCACTCTGCACACCCAACACTACAAAATAAAACCATAAAACGTTTTATTGAAATTTTTTTAATGATCCATGCATCAATTTTTTTAGTTTGCCTGGACTCCTAGGACTTTTAAGTAGAATTTGTCAACATTAACATTTGAACAGCAAAAAAATTAAAAGCTTACATCATTTTAATTGACTAAAAATAAACCTGCAGCATAGGCCTACCTGAAGGTGCTCCAAGAGTGCGGAGGTGGTGCTGAAAGATTCTGTACAATCCGTCCACCTACAGATGACGTCAGAACACATATGTCCTTTCCACCCGTTCCTGGCTGGGAACCGAATGATACTCGGAGTCCTTAGTATAGGAGAAGGCAACGAGGGTTTGTCCGAACACGTCTCACCCGTGCTGATGGACAAAGGCGAGTCGGCGGGAGAGGAGGCGGGTGTAGAACAAGTGTTTGGTTTAGGTAAAACACTATCACTGACACTGACACTGTCTTGGACTTGTGGAGAGCTGGGTTTGCGAAACAACGAGGTAACTGGTGAGGAGGGTTCCGCCGGTTTGTCGGACTGGAAGACGAAGGGTAACCGGGCGACAGGCACGACGGTCCCTGAGAGGTGCACAGCCAGTTTATTAGCATCACAGCTGCTTTTCTTGTGCTGAGCCTGTGAATAGCAACAACTTCGGTAAAACATTGAATATTAACACCATCTATAGTAGAGAGAGTTAATGTTCTAAATTTTCAAATTTTAACAGCTGCAACCTTACTATCATCTATACAGCTGGGTAGCCAAGTGGTTTTAAGTACCCTAACTAACCTAGTAATGAAAAGGTCACCAGTTTGATCCTCAGAAAATTTAGTTTGTTTCTGATAATTGTAAGGTTTCTAATGCATGGTTCTGTATAATAAACGGTTGGTCTTAATCAGTAACAAAGCTAAAATACATGTAGCAGAAATACAATTATTCTATACCTTGTTAATGCCACAGTTCTAAGTGTTCTCAACAAAAGTCAAATTAGGATATGATCTCTTAAACAGGACTTGAAAGAAGGGTGAAAACACAATCTGATGTGACTGTACAAGTTTTTTTTAGGATTGTTGTGAATTTAACTTTGTGAACTCCAAAGAAAACAAGACTTCAGACTTAATTTTTTTTTACTTTCTCCCCCAATACAAAGTTACCTATAACTTATGGAGGAAGAATTGTTGTTGTCAAAATGTCCAAGTTTTGGTTAAGGGTGGATTAGGGGAACCATTTTGGGTCCCCCTAAACCCACAAATGTGGTTTTCGAGGTGATGTCTGTATGTGAGTGGATGTGTAGCCTACAAACCACACCTGTAGTCCGACGTTGATGATATTTAGTATGTGGGTACAGTGGAACCTTGATAACAAGTCACCTTTGATAACAAGTGTCATTTTCAAAACACCTTGGATTTATTTGACCTCTAATCACATGTTATTGCAAACCTCGATATGAAGTCAACCTTGATAACAAGTGTTATTTTATAATCTCTTGAGTCTTGTTATCAAGATTGTTATCTAGAGTCTACTGATCCTGGTCATCGATGTATAATAACTCCCTGGATTGATTGATAAGCTAATTGGAGAAAGTATGCGTCAGATTCCTGATACTACATTTCTAATAATGGTTTATTTGAATCTGAAAAATACCCAAGCATGCAGACATTATAATAATGTTTATTCCTCCAGGCTAGTTAAATTATTCTGTGTACTGTTACGTAATCATAATACAATGCACTGGAAAATTGACTCACCGGAAAGTACTCAGTGATCTTGCCCTGGAAGTATCTAGGCGAGTGAGGGTCGACCCAGGCGCAGGGCCAGTGGGCTGTAGCAGTCTCGGTGGACTGTGTAGGAGGCATCTTGCCAGGGGACTCAGGATCACTCTCGGCAGAGGAAACTGTGCTGTAGGGAGACCCAGGCTCTGTGATGTCACTGGTCCCACTGGAGCTGCCACTGCAGTCTGTGCAACTGAGGGTTGCTACTCCACTGAAACAAAACACAGTACCTCAGACTCTCAACTGTCAACAAACTAATAATAGATCCATGTACTCCACCACTTAATAATCAACACAATTATACCTACATAGGTACTAAAGAGAGCATAACCTTTAAAATCATCTCAGTCATAAGTAAAGGCTGGTATACACGCTACGAAAAATTGTGACTATCTGATTTGACTAATTTAATGCTGAGATAAATCGAGAGATTGCAGTCAGGTCTATAAGCTGCAATCAATTGTAACAATTTCTTGTGAAAATTTCAGTATTCTGCTGTTGACCGCTATCAAACTCAGAAACGAATTTGCCATAACACACTGATTACAATTGGTGCCATACATGTGCGACTCGTTTACACTTTCCAACTTGACATTCCAATTTGTAGAAATTGATGCTGGCCGGTATCAATCATCCAAATCAATTCCAATTTGAGAAATCCCTCCAATATGCTCGCTGTCTACTCTACTTGCTATGATAAATTGGTACAATTTGCTATTTTTAATAAATCGATATGATATATCGTAAGCGTGTATACCGACGGCCTTAAAGTTATCTCAGAGTCAATAGCCAAACAGGTTTGTAGTCAATGGTTACATATTGATGGAAGTTTATTTTATTAAAAAAAAACATAAAAAAACAGGATAATATTTAACAAGAAGAGCTTAAAAATCAATAAAATTAATCTAGCTTGGTATAATGATAACTAGAGGTCGTCCAGTGGTCAAAAACTCGACCAAAAATATGATATGTACAGACTAAGTTGATTATTGAATGTTTTATTGCTGGGGGCCACAGACTAGGATACCTAGCACTTTCAATCAAGCAGGAAATCAATCAAAATTTTGTGGGGATAGTCAATGTGTTTGGTTCTAGTTCGAGCTTAGTTGCACTTAAGCATGTGTGTACCTAAGTGACCTCACCCCACCCGCCGACGAAGAAGAATATAGCTGCCGAAGTTATGATTATGATTATATTTACTTGTTGGAACCAGAGAAGAAGAAAGAAATTGTTTAGAAGATTTTGAGCTAAAGGGTGGCTTCAACGAAGAAATAGTTACAGCCACATGGCACTTCTACGAGATTTGTGACTTGAAAATCCTCAGGAGTTTCCGTCATACTTAGCAACCAGTGACGGACGCACATAAAATAGAAAAAAGGAGCCAATATTGATGTTTTAGCATGGTTTTGTTTTGTCAGTTCATTTTTAGTTGTATTACGCATGCCCAAGCCGTCTTTAGTTGATCAGTTGCTGAACCCTAGTGGCAACCTACAAATTGCCGTCAAGGTTTTGGGCTAAAGAATGGCTTCAACGTAGAAATAGTTACAGCCACATGGCACTCATACGAGCTTTGTGACTTGAAAATTCTCAGGATATTAAGAACTATTTACAGATGTCAAATGGTAGTTTCCGTCATACTTAGCAACCAGAGACGCCTGTGATACCTCACATTGAAAACAGGGCGCCAGAGATTGACATTTCAGCATGGTTTTGTTTTGTCAGTTGATTTTTAGTGGTATTGCGCATACCCGTATTTAGTTGATTAACTTAGTCGCTGAACCCTACATACTCAAGTATTTTTTGAGAAATCTCATTGCCCGGCGATAAAATGGTTGATCGAAAACCAAAATTTCGCCTCGCAACCTACAAATCACCCCCACACACACGGCGATATTTGTGCAATTTGGTCGCTCGTCAACCAGATCGCCGGTTGATAAGCGACCGGGTGTCCTAGTGTGTAGCGGCCTTAACAGTTGAACTTGATAATCAATGACCCAAAAGCCTTTCAGCCTTCCCAGAAGCGAAACTAGTGAAATGGGACGGCAACAGCAGACGACAGGGAATGTCAACAAAGTGCGTGCGCGTGTGTGAGTGAGCGACGCTAGCGCTGCGGCGGACACAAACTGTACTAGACGAGGTTATCGAGCTGACCCGCTGTCTCTGTCAGTGGTGGGGATGGAGGGGAGGTAGCACGTGCAGCACGGCACTACCACACTGAACAGCTTCCGTCCACCGCTCCTCGCTCAGACTCACTATATTTACACTAATTGATCATCCGAGGCAGACACTTCCTGCACTGCCCTTTAACTCGCACACCTCCGCCTTTACGTACATCGTACACCGACGTTTCTTCCTAAATTTAATCATTCACATCGTCATAATTCTTATCATTACAACAGATATTGTAATGTGAACAAATTAAGTTAATTTTTAATTCTTATCTAAAATCACTCTTCTTTGGCCGTTATTCCTGCTTCCCTGTTTTTTCCCATAGACGTTTGTTTAGCACAAATACGCAGCATCGTTATTTGTTTAGAAATGCATTAAAATAGATGACAATTTCATATCATAATTAATTATAAAGCAAATGTCACGAAACACCTTTTCGCTATGTCCTACTAAAATCAAGCTTTATATATTTCAAAGTTAATGAATGTACTAACAAAATCGGCAAGCTTAACGAAACCCCGGGACGTATGGAACCTCGAATCACGCGAAAAGTCCCGATTCCAACAGCGTTATCATAACGTTGCCGGCATTTGTTTGAAATTTGGAACATTAAAGTTATTATGTAAACCAATTAATTTACAGCCACTAAATTAATTAATCGTTCTTTCTCGTCAATAAACGTGTTATTTTCATCCAAACATAGGCCTAAATAACTCTATTATTAGAAGAGGTTGTAAAGCAGTCAAATATTTAATTTTGTCCAGATGTTTATTGCCCATAAAACAGCCAGGCTGAACGAAGACGCAACTAAGGACACATGCCAAGGTCATCCATGGTCGTATGCTATTTTATGTGATGGACTTATATAGGCTATAAAGAGTCAGTTGAAAAGTAATTAAAAAAAACTGTTAAAAATGAGTTATAACTGTTATGCTCGAATGAGATAGAAAGTAAGAACTGTATTTTGTTATAACATTTATCTATTGCAGGCAGTAGCTGATATTCAACAATAACAGAAACCCACAATACAAGAAAGGCTTTCAGCTAGAGGACAGAAGATATTTTGTACTAGGAGACAATACTACCGTCTATTTTCGTCATCCTCTCTATACATAAGTTTTGACGTGTTTACTTCAGAAACTGTTGTACACTCGTGTAAACTATGTGTGTATGGACGAAATCGAAATCTTCGGTGGTGCATCCTTGTTCAAGTTCTTGTCTGCGTGCCCGTGTGTTGACTGTACACTCGTACAGTACACTGGTTGCCTGCTTGGCCATGTTGAGTGTATATACATTAGTACAAACTCTTGTTAGGTGGTAACTCCAATAACAGTCGTACAAACTCTTGTTAGGTGGTAACTCCAATAACATTCGTACAAATTCTTGTTAGGTGGTAACTCCAATAACACTCGTACAAACTCTTGTTAGGTGGTAACTCCAATAACATTCGTACAAATTCTTGTTAGGTGGTAACTCCAATAACATTCGTACAAACTCTTGTTAGGTGGTAACTCCAATAACACTCGTACAAACTCTTGTTAGGTGGTAACTCCAATAACATTCGTACAAACTCTTGTTAGGTGGTAACTCCAATAACATTCGTACAAACTCTTGTTAGGTGGTAACTCCAATAACACTCGTACAAACTCTTGTTAGGTGGTAACTCCAATAACATTCGTACAAACTCTTGTTAGGTGGTAACTCCAATAACATTCGTACAAACTCTTGTTAGGTGGTAACTCCAATAACATTCGTACAAACTCTTGTTAGGTGGTAACTCCAATAACAGTCGTACAAACTCTTGTTAGGTGGTAACTCCAATAACATTCGTACAAACTCTTGTTAGGTGGTAACTCCAATAACATTCGTACAAACTCTTGTTAGGTGGTAACTCCAATAACATTCGTACAAACTCTTGTTAGGTGGTAACTCCAATAACAGTCGTACAAACTCTTGTTAGGTGGTAACTCCAATAACATTCGTATAAACTCTTGTTAGGTGGTAACTCCAATAACAGTCGTACAAACTCTTGTTAGGTGGTAACTCCAATAACATTCGTACAAACTCTTGTTAGGTGGTAACTCCAATAACAGTCGTACAAACTCTTGTTAGGTGGTAACTCCAATAACAGTCGTACAAACTCTTGTTAGGTGGTAACTCCAATAACATTCGTACAAACTCTTGTTAGGTGGTAACTCCAATAACATTCGTACAAACTCTTGTTAGGTGGTAACTCCAATAACAGTCGTACAAACTCTTGTTAGGTGGTAACTCCAATAACATTCGTACAAACTCTTGTTAGGTGGTAACTCCAATAACAGTCGTACAAACTCTTTTTAGGTGGTAACTCCAATAACATTCGTACAAACTCTTATTGGGTGGTAACTCCAATAACATTCGTACAAACTCTGCTTGGAGGAAACTGTACACTCGTACAAACTATGTCTGCCTGGTCGTGCTGATAGGTCTTGTTTGACGGCGCTATTAAACTTTATGGAAGGGCCCGGCTTATCAGATACTTGTTTAAAGCCTGCTGTTCTTATCTAAAGAAAATTAAATCACCGACTCGCCTAACTCCAAGTGGCCGTTCGTTGGTTTGTTGATCTGTTGCTTCTCATTTTTGTGACGAGAGCTCCTAGTGAATGTTTCATGTGATTGACGAAACTGAATACCTCAATATCGTATCCAATGAGACGTTCTGAGACGGGACAGTGTACAAGACGCAGTACTTGTTACTATTAAACTCATCTAGCAAATGGTTCTGTTCGTAAAACTGTAGAACTTGGGTAGCTGTATATGAGCAATAATCGACTGGTAATCAAAAGGTGGCCAATTCGATAATGAGAAAAGACATTAGCTGTTTAAATTATTGGAATTGGACGCAGCTGTCCTTGATCATGGGGCTTTATGGTCATGGCTTAGAAAACAACTGATCAGAGTTAGTCACAGGCTACACCGGTTTTCACACAGGTCACCTCATATTACTGTATAGTATCATTGAGTATACATAGTATATTACACTCATATTCAAGTTAAAATACA